GGAGAGGAAGGGGAAAAAAAAAGTTACAGAGAGGGAAGGAGGCAAACCATAAGAGGCTCTTAAAAACTGAGAATAAACTGAGGGTTGATGGGGGGTGGGAGGGAGGGGAAAGCGGGTGATGGGCATTGAGAAGGGCACCTGTTGGGATTAGCACTGGGTGTTGTATGGAAACCAATTTGACAATAAATTTCATATTAAAAATAAATAAATAAAGTGATGAGAGAGCTGGTTGGCTAGGAGAGACACAGAGAGTGGTCGTGCATAGTGCACCACATTTCAGGCCTCCTTGAGGACATGGGTAAGTATTGCTGAAGTTGAATATGAAAAATTTCCAGAAATGAATATGACCTAATAAGCCCTTAATACTTTAGCCAGGTATTAGTGTACTTTGAGATGCTTGACTTAGGCAGTAAGTGTTGTGGCAGTTGTCAGATCTGAGGTCTTGTGTATAAGGTGCATCACTAGGAGCTGGGTGGGAATAATCCACACCACTGGTAATGGTAAAACACTTGCAGACACATAGCAGTCAGCCTGGAATAAGGAGCTCCTGAATGAGAACTCACAGAAACCCTGTAATGGTGTCTGTCTTTAGCATGCAGTGTTGGTGAAATAGATTCTTAGCTGCATTTCTGAGCTTCCTTGTTTCGTTAATTTTTGGTTGCTACAGGTACTGGTAGCTCTTGCTTGTGACCTGGAGCTAGACACTCTCCCTTGCTGTGCTGAGACGCACAAGTGGGCTTGGTTCCGAAGGTACTGCATGGCCTCCCGCGTTGCTGTGGCCCTGGACAAAAGAACACCCTTGCCACGTCTTTTTCTTGATGAGGTATAGCATGTTATTTTGGAATGTAAAAACATTTTCCTTATTCAGTCATGGTGTAAACAGATGCCAATATTATGAGACACAGCAACATTTCTCTTACAAAGGGATACCATAAAGAAAAAAATCACATAGGTGAAAATGAATAAATGCATACTGTGAATTTCAGTTAAAGTTTATTTTTAGTAAACTAAAGATATACTAGTACTGCCCAGACATTTCAATATCTTAGACTTGATTATAATTGTATTGATTTTGCTTATTAACTATAAAATCACAGTATTGATGTTGGCATTCCCTCAGATTCTGCAATTGGGATTACTCCTGTGTTGTTACCTTAATATTATGTGTTTCATTTTTGAGAGGTGAGTGTTTATTGATAATCTCATAATAATGTTGTCTAGGTGGCTAAGAAAATTCGTGAGTTAATGGCAGACAGTGAACACATGGATGTTCTCCACGAGAGCCACGACATTTTTAAAAGAGAGCAAGATGAACAACTTGTGCAGTGGATGAACAGGTTATTATATCAGAACCAAGAATAATGCTGTACACTGGGGAAAGGTGTTGTATGTGCAGTTCTTTCCCATGTTAATTGTTCACTTAATATTTGTTGTAGGCGACCAGATGACTGGACTCTTTCTGCGGGTGGCAGTGGAACAATTTATGGATGGGGGCATAATCATAGGGGACAGCTTGGGGGCATCGAAGGTGCAAAAGTTAAAGTTCCCACTCCATGTGAAGCTCTTGCAACTCTCAGACCCGTGCAGTTAATTGGAGGAGAACAGACTCTGTTTGCAGTGACAGCTGATGGAAAGGTAAGGGTGCCTTTTCTGTGTCATACGTTAAAAACTAAGAGACAGCTATGGCTAGGGTGCGTTATTGGTCCATGGTATGTGTAAGGACTCTGTATTAAAACGTTATCTCAAGGTTAATAGTACTTATTGTTGGAAGCAGTTATCATTCTAAAATATTTCTGTATGATCTTTGATGTGTTCTATAACTTTACAGTGTTTTATTTTGAAATACAGCGTACGTAGAAAAGTGTACTGTTTGCATATCAATAATACATTAGAGTATTCCTTTTTTTTATTTGCTAGTGTAATGCTTTTTAAAAAATTAATTGCGGGGCGCCTGGGTGGCGCAGTCGGTTGAGCGTCCGACTTCAGCCAGGTCACGATCTCGCGGTCCGTGAGTTCGAGCCCCGCGTCAGGCTCTGGGCTGATCGCTCGGAGCCTGGAGCCTGCTTCCGATTCTGTGTCTCCCTCTCTCTCTGCCCCTCCCCCCTTCATGCTCTGTCTCTCTCTGTCCCAAAAATAAATAAACGTTGAAAAAAAAAAAATTTAAAAAATTAATTGCTTCTAATATGATGAAATGGTTAATACTTACATATTGTCTTTATGTTTGGTGACCTTATTCAACTATTTTCTTTCTTTTGTATATCTCAGGATTTCTTGTATCTTCTTTATAGAGTCATAATCTGTAAATCAGTTTTGTTCCTTTTCAGTTCACCACTCTTATTTTTTCCTTTTTGTGTGGAAGAAAGGAAGCTCATTGTATTGGGTTGTTTTGATATAATATTGAGCAGGGGTGGTAGTTGTGGGCTTGTTCTTGTCTTAATCCAGTTTGCAAAGTAAACACTGTGATTGAACATTTCACAAACTTACTGTGAGGTTTTGGTGGATGATCTTTATGAGATCTTTATGAGGAAATTTCCTTCTCTTTCTACATAAAAAAAAAACTATTCCTATGGATGTTTTCTCCTTTAGTGGATTTATGTCGTGAATTGGATTAATTGGTTTTCTTATATTAAACCCACTTGCATTCTGTGGAGACACCCACCTTGGTCAGGATGTTTTATATTTTTTTGGTTTGTGTTTGTGAATATTTTCTTTGGGATTTTTGGGAGCCCCAAGATCTTAAAGTGCGATTATAATAATGTTTCTGTCTTATATATTCCTTGTCTGATTTTGGTACTCTATTATTATATATCTATTTAACTTACAACAATTAACTTAAAAATGCATGTTTATTATCTTGCAGTTCTCTGGGTCAGGACTCTGGAAGGTGGCTTAGCTTGGTCCTCCCACCTAGGATCTCTCCCCAGGCTGCAGTTGCCTCAGGGCTATACTGAGCATTCAGTTCCTCATGAGTTGTTAGTTGAGGCTGCCCTCAGTTCTTTGCCACATCACACTGTAGCAGCTGGCTTCCTCAGAGCAAGCAAGGGAGGTGTAGCAAGACACAAGTTACAGTCTTGTGTGACCTAATCCAAAAGTGACAGTCCATCCTTGTTGCCATATTCTGTCCATTAGAATTGAGTCACTAGGTCTAGCCCATGTTCAAGGAGAAGGGATTACACAGGGTGTGAATTAGGGACTCTTGGGAACCACATCAGAGACTGCTTGCCAAGAATATCAAGATTGTGCTAGTCTCATAAAAAAGGGTTGAAGTGTTTTGTTTTGTTTTGTTTTGTTTCCTTTTTCTATTCTCTGGAGAATTCTATGTCTTTTATTGTTTCCTGGTTATTATGCATATGTAAAATCTGAAGTGAATTACTACTGCTGTCCTCCTCCCAAGTAATACAAATAGCTGATACTTTGTTATCCTGTGTTCTGGCAGAAACCCATTAGGGAATGATAGGCATTATTATTTTTGTTGTTATTTTTCCAGATTTACCCAAATGTTGCACATGTCTTTGCTCACATTATTTCTTATGTCTCAGACCTTATATCTTTAAACAGTTTCTTCTACTTCATTTTGCTTCTACTTTATATTTTCATTTTTCTTTAGTGAGTCTTTTGTTGGTTTATCCTCAGATTGTTTTTGTTTATTTGAATATGTCTTTATTTTATCCTTTATCCTAAGTAAGAGTTGCAAACATTTTATGTAAAGGTCGTGATAGTATTTTTGGCTCTATGGGTCATGTGGTCTCTGTTGGCAACTATGAAAACAAGCCTATGAATGATATGTAAATGAATGTGTCTGGCTATGTCCAATAAAGCTTTATTTACAAAAGTACATGGTGGGCCTGATTTGACTCATGGGCCATAATTTGCCAACCCCTGTTCTAGAGTATGAAATTTTAAGTTGACTGTTATTTTCAGTCAGCCTGTTAAACGTTTTATTCTTTTGGATTTTGGGCTTCATTGTTGCTAATGAGATGTTAGCAGCAGACTAACTTTTACCCAAATGGAGGTAATAAATCTTTTCTCTATGGCTGCTTTTAAGATATTTCTTTAGTGATCTGCATTTTGCTGTGATATATTTTTATTGCCCTTTTTTGTTTTACTTTGTTTTTGCCAGGTGGTAAGGGATGGGAGAGGGGGGCTTTCTAAGGCTCTTGAGAAGTGGTCTTTAAACAACTCTGGTAAATTCCTAGACTGTTTTTTTGCCTCAGATATTGCTTCTACCATATTCTCTGTGTGATCTCTGCCTGAAAATGTGTTCTGATTGTTGAGTGCTTTATATCTCTAACTCCTTCTTTATATCTCTATATATGAGTGCTTTATATCTCTAACTCCATGTTTCCTCTTCTCTTTGTGTTTCTATGCTATATGCTAAAGAATGTCTTCAGATTCATCTTCTAGTCTCTTGTTACCTATTTATAATCTGCTATTAAATGTATCTGGGTATTTAATTTCAATTATTGTTTTTTTAATCCCTGGAAGTTCTGCTTTGGGTAATTTTGTAATTCCTTATTCCTTAGGGATACTTTCAAGCTTTTATTTCTTTAAAGATAATATTGGACTGTTGTTCTGACTCCCTCATGGCATCTTTTTTCAACTATGAGCTGACCCTTTTCCTTAGAAAATTTTATGTAGAAATTCTTTGAGGCTTAGTTGGAAATCACTCATCAAAAGAGAATTTATAACCCTGGGGTACTACAAATCTAAGTCATTGTAAATTAAATTCTCAAAGGAATTTAGACCATACATATTATAAATTTAGACTGAAAACCAACCTAATGATCACCTTTCATGGTTGTGAATTCTCAGGAGAGCTTTTTCTCCATATAATTTAGTGCTGAGATTGAGAAAGGGAACTTGCTTTGTTGTTTTCTTTTTATTCCTCACAGTCGGCCCACTGGAGGATCATCTTTCTAAAAGGAGACTCCTTTTAAGCTTGGTACTTTACCCTCGACACCCCGACACCCCGTGTGCTGAAGATTCTCAAAACCTTCTCAGGGGACACTGGCTTTAGGGCCCTTTTATCAGTTTGAGTTCTTGGTTTCACTTTCTGTTTTAGTTCTTGAGGTTTTCCTTACTATTGTGTCATTGCAGCAATGCATTTGAAACAATATGAAACAATATTTAAATTTTTATAGGAGGGATGTTTGACATGCATTTGGAAAAGGCAGTCTGATTCTTTTTTAAATTAATGATAAACCTTGTGCCCTGAAATAATTACTCACTTAGAACGAAAGAAAAATAGTGTATTCTACTGTGTGACTTATATGCAGCCTTGCTGAAATACTACATCTATTTATAGTTTTTCTATGAGTGTTTCTATCAGTGTTACTATCAGAGATTTGCTTCCAGGGAAAAGATCTTCTTTTTAAAATACATTTTGTGAACTTGGGATTTTAAATAGTCATAACTATTTCATTTTTAGTGTTTGATAAAGCACGGAAAAGTCTTAAACATTCTTGTAACTTTTTTTTTTTTTTTGAGAGAGAGCGAGCGCACATGTGTGTGAGCCAGGGAGGGGCAGAGGGAAAGGGAGAGAATCTTAAGCAGACTCCATGCTCAGTGCAGAGCCCAGTGCAGGGTTCAATCCCACGACCCTGACTGAGCCACCCAGATGCCCCCATTCCTGTGATTTTTAACTTTAAAATTCATTTCTCTGTGGTAAAAATATCTAGCACACTGATTGAGTTTGTTAATTACTAGAATATAGGGATATTTAGATAAAAATCTGATATTTATATTCTTCTCGTCTTAGCTGTATGCCACTGGATATGGTGCAGGCGGCAGACTAGGAATTGGAGGGACAGAGTCGGTATCTACCCCAACATTACTTGAATCCATTCAACACGTGTTTATTAAGAAAGTAGCTGTGAACTCAGGAGGAAAACACTGTCTTGCCCTCTCTTCAGAAGGAGAAGTTTACTCTTGGGGTGAGGCAGAAGATGGGAAGTTGGGGCATGGCAACAGAAGGTATTATGTGAAAACATTATTTTTGATGTTATGCTTTCCTTGTTTCTTTTATCTCTTGTATAACATATTGGCACTTTGTTTTTCAGGACAACATTTATAATAATCTACTCAAGTTAAATGTTAATGACTTATTTGGCAGAAATAAGTTCATGTTCCAATGTGTGGGCTTGCCTCCACTACCCTTCTATTTGAGGGGAAAATCAATTCTGAATTTTCGATTTTTAAGTACTAAGTACATTGAGTTTCTCTTAGTCCTTCTCCCCAAGTTTTCTTCCTCCGATCCCGAGTAATTCACTGAATCAACAGTTGGCATTTTGATAACATGTGTGATACTAAAGCTGTAAATACAGAGGAAATGGAAGGAGTGAGGGTAAGGGGACACACAAATGACAATATTTTTTAAACAAAGTAACCAAACTTTCTAGTTTTTAAAAATTAATGGGAATTACCTGCCCAGTTGGAGTAACAAAGACCTTCATCTCTGAAATAACTTAAAGTACCAGACTAAATATATGAAACAGCTGCCCTAAAGACAATGGATAACAGGCAGTAAAGTTACATACAGTGATCTACAGAGGTGAATACTGACAGTCACATGTGTCAGTGGCCAAGGAACTCAGAGGCCAAGGAACAAACCACCCAAAAGGACTAGAAGGAATGGTCCACAGAGCTCACAGAGGGCAGACAATACAGCTTGCTTCCAAAACCTGATAATTCCCAGAACATTGGTTAGAGGACTAAGAATGATGTTGCACAAAAGTGGGTAAAAAAATTAAAGGTAGACTGTTGCTCTGATCCCATCAATAACGCTTAAAAGCAAAACCTGAAAGGATTAAATTGTTCACAAGGAACCATAAGCTCAGGAATATCTTTATCAATACAGACATATCAAGCGCTCAGCAAGATAAACGTCACAATGTTCTATATCCATTCAGACATTACCAGGCATGTGTCTCTTCAATAAATAGTATTGGGAAAATTGGATATTCAAATGCAAAAGAATGAAATTAGATCCCTGAATTATACCACTTACAAAAATTAACTCAAAATGGATTAAAAACCTAAATATAAGTTCTGAAACTATAAGAGTCCTCTAAGAAAACATAGGGAGAAAGCTCCTTGACCTTGGTCTTTGCAATGTTATTTTGGATATGACACTAAAAGCACCAGCACCAGAAGCAAAAATAAAGTGGGACTACATTAAACTAAAAAGCTTCTGTACAGCAAGTGAAACAATCAACAAAATAAAAGGCAGCCTATAGAATAACAGAAAATATTTGCAAACCATATAACTGGTAAGGGATTAATGTCAAAAATGTGTAAGGAACTTGTATAACTCAGTAGCAAATAAAAAAAAAAAAAAACCCAATTAACAAATGGGCAAAGAACCTGAATAGACATTTTTCCAGAGAAGACATACAGATGACCCACAGGTACATGAAAAGTTGCTTAGCATTACTGATTTTCAGGGAAATGCAAATCAAAGCCGTGAGATATTACCTTACACCTGTTAGAATGGCTTTTATTAAAAAGACAAGATATAAGTGCTGCTGAGGTTGTGGAGAAAAGGGAAACTTTATATACTGCATATAAATTATGCAGCCACTATAGGAAAACATAGAAAAAAGTAAAAAATAGAACTACCATGTGATCCAGCAGTCCCTCTTCTGGGTGTATATCTGATGAAAATGAAATAATTTTCTTGAAAGGATCTATACTCCCATGTTCAGTGTGGCATTGTTCACAATAGCCAAGACATGGAAACAACCTAAATGTTCATCCACAGGTGAATGGGTGAAAAAGATGTGGGGTGGGGTGGGGTGGTGGTGATGTGTGTGTTAGAATATTATTCAGCCATAGAAAAAGAAATCTTGGCATTTGTGACAATTTGGATTAACCTAGAGGACATTATGCTAAGTGAAATCAGTCAGAGAAAGACAAAACACTATGATTTCACTTATATTTGGAATCTAAAAAAACTGAACTCCTAGAATTAGAGTAGACTGGTGGTTTCCAGGGGCTGGGGATTGGGGGGTTGGGAGATGTCGACAAAGGGTACTAACTTCCAGTTATAAGATGAATAAATTCTGGGGACATAATGTACAGCATGGTGACTGTAGTTAACAATACTTTATTGTATCCTTGAAAGTTGCTCAGAGGGAGTAGATCTTCAGTGTTCACACCACACAAAAATTATTATGTGAGATGATGGCTGTGTTAACCTTATTGTGGTAATCATTTTGCAGTATATATGTATCAACTCATCATATTGTACACCTTAAATTTATACAATGTTATATGTCAATTATATCTCAAAGCTGTAAAAAATTTATCAGGCATGCAAAAGAGTAGGAAAATATAGCCCATATAAAGAGAAAAATCATTCAATTAAAACTGACCCAGAAATGACATAAGTAGTAGAATTACTAGATAAAAATATTAAAACAGTATTTTAACCACATGCCTGTATCTTTAAGAAACTTGAGGGAAAACTTAAGCATGTTAGAGATTGAAAGGTATTTTAAATGCCCTAATCAAAGTCTGGGATGAAGAATACAGTGCATGTGTTTAATATAGATTAAACATAGTAGAGGAAAAGATCAGTGAGCTTGATGACGTAACAATAGAAACTGAAACAAATGAAACACACAAACATATAAAATGAATATCACATCAGTGAATTGTGGACAACAGCCTCAAGTGGCCTATTATATAAGTAAAGTCACCAAAGGAGAGGAGGATAGGGGATTTTGAGAAATGATGGCTGAAAAATGTCCAAATTAGATCTAGGAATAAAAGAGAACTTCTGTAACTTGATAAAGGGCATCTCTGTTAAATATAGAGCTAATAGTGACTTAATATGACATACTGAACTTCCCCTAACTATAGGAACCAAGACCAAGGACATCTGCTATCAAGATTCAGCATTGTACTTCAAGATTGTCAAGTGAAGTTCAGCAGTATAAAGATATAAAAGGCATTCAAAAGGGAAAGAGAATTAAAGCTGCTTCTTTACACGTAGTATAATTGCTTATATAGAAAATCTATGGTACCTACAAAAAAGCTACTAGAATCAATAAGTGAGGTTAGCAGGGTTGCAGGATAGATCAATAAATAAAAAGCAATTGTTTGTCTTTATACTATGCAAATGTAATCAGAAATTGAAATTTAAAAATACCATTTATATTACCCCCCCCCCCAATTGAAATAGTAAGGGATAAATTTGACCAAAAAAAAAAAAAAAAAACCATGGATGACTTAGAGAAAACTATAAAATATTGCTAGGGAAGATTTTAGAAGACCTAAAAATCAATGAATGAGTATACTGTGTTCATGGATTAAAAGACTCAATATTGTTGATTTATTAGTTTTCCTCAAATTAACCTATAGATTCAACCCCTTCTCAAACAAAATTTCTGTAGAAATTGACAAGCTGATTGTAAAATTCATAGAGAAATACAGAGCACCTAGAATAATCAAAGCAACTTTGAAAATCAGGAGCAAAGTTGGAAGACGCTACCTTATTTCAAGCCTGATTTTAAAGCTACAGTAATCAAAACAGTGTAGTACTGTTGTAGAGAGAAATGTATTAGTGGAACAGAATGGAGTCTCAAAATGTACCACAAATACTGAATAATGAGTGTGGAAAAATGAAGTTGGATTTCTGCCTTGTAACTTCCAATGCACAATTTACAAAAGTGCAGTTTATTGGAGAACAGAGCTTTTTCAACAAATGGTCTTGAACAATTGGATAACCATATAGCAGGCAGTGAACTTTTTGACTTGCACTGTATCCAAAATTAACTCAAAATGAATCATAGTCATAAATGTGAAACCTAAGTCCAAAAGCTTACAGAAGAAAACATGAGAGAAAACCTTTGTGACTTTAGGTCAGACAAGGAGTTTTAGAAAGAACTCCAAAAGCATGATCCAGTAAATAAAAATAGGATAAATTGGACTTCATAAAAATGTGAACTCCAGGTGTTTGAAAAGACATGCTACAGACTGTGAAAGCATTATTTGCAATCATACATCTGGCTTAGGCCTTACTTTCAAAATTATTATAAAGAGCTTTCAAAACTCAGTAAGAAGAAAACAAACTTATTGTCAGTGCTTGGCACATTGTAGGCTAGTTGACATTCATATGATAAAACTCTATAAATGAAATGTTGATTTATAGCAAGGGTGGATGAATTGTTTTGGTAAAGAGCCAGGTAGCCTACATATTTTAGTCTTTGTAATATATGCTTCTTTCCTTTTTTTTTTTTTT